CAGTCATGGCCTCAGTTCCTGTCCGTCTCCTTGCCCTGCCTAGCTCAGCTCCAGGGCAGGAAGAATCTCAGCACCCCCGAGGGAAGACCAGCTGCCCTGGCAGAGGCGTCAGGGCTGCAGTGTCCCGAAGCTTCTTCCAGAGTGGCAGAGATGTGTGTGCACTTGCCCTCCCACACTGAGACTCCAGTTTTCGGCATGTTGTGAGCTAAAACAATTGTCCGGAAGTCTTAACAATCAGTCCTGTGGGCTGGATAGTCAGGCATGCGGGCATGCTGCCCGCCTCACGTGCAGCCAACCGGTTTGATCCTGGCACCAGCACTGCCAGGTGTGACCCCAGAGCACAGTGCCAGAAATAGGCCTTGAGTATTGCGGGGTGTGGTGGTCTCCAAAACACGCCACTTTTTATCATTATTTTCTGTTTTGTCTTTTGAGCCATACCTGGCTGTGCTCAGAAGAGCATGCATCCCAGGTCAGAGCCAGGCCTCCTGCGTGCAAACCCTGCCTCTCAGTGTCTGTGTGGGTGAAGCAGCCCGCCAACCACTAGCCTGACTTATCTAGGGCTCAGAACACTTATGGAGTTTGAGGGGTTTGGGGGTGGTGGTGGGAGGAGCTGGGACTCTTCACTCAGTGAAAACAAGTTGATCTGCGAGAAGTTCCTTCTCTGCCGACCCCAGGGACACCGGCTCTCTGATAGGTGCTGTTGTCATCATTTTCTGACCCCCAGATTGATCATCTGGGGGCCAGAGTGCAGCCAGGGACAAACTGTCCTGCTGGGATTAGCCTTGATGTTAGGAGCTTGGCCAGGAAGCTAAAGAACTTTCCAAGGGGGCTGCTCAGTCCACAGTACCCAGGTTCCCTTGTCTGGAGGAAGGAGATAGAAATGCAGAGAACAGGATGGGGCTGTGGGTTCCGGGAAGGGGGTGACAGCTCTGTTCTGGCCGTAGTCATTGGAGAGAATGGAGGCTCTGAGTGGTGACCATGGCTGTAGAGGGAGGTCCGGAGTGAGTGAGGGGGCTGGAGCCCCACACCTGCCTTCAGGAGGCCTGACACTGCCTGGTCCCCTGAGCACTGAGCTGGGAGTAGCCCCCAACACACTAGGAGTGGTCCCCAAAAAGCAGCTGAACATGAACTCCATCTGGGAGTACACAGAGATGAGCCTGAGAACGTGGCGGGGGTGAGCGTGGGGCTGCTGGGCCTTGCGGTGGGAAACGCTTCAGCTGCACCCAAGGTGGAGCTGCCTGGGCGTCTGGCGGAGGACAGGCTGGGGCTGACGGGGACTCCCAGACACCAGTGTTCCTTTGGTAGACCTGCCTGGTGAGCACCCCCCAAGCTTTGTCCTGTGACTCACTTGCACAGTGGGGCTTGATTGCCTGCCGGTCACAGGGGTTTGTCCTGGCGCCACTTTGGAGGTGGCCTCCTGACCAGGTGGATGAGAGACTGGACCACCGGCCGCCGTGGAGCTTCTCGGCTTCTCATGGAGCGTCTCGACTGCGGGCAGCTGGCGGGGAGTTTCTGTGTTTCCACATGGCTCTCTGCATGTGTCCAGCTCCTGCTGAGCGGGTCAGAAGCCGGAGCTGACCTCTGTCCCCCCAGTCGCAGCGCCCCTCACAGGCCCTGGGACCCCTGGAGCCCTGCTCGCCACTGTTACACTCTACTCAGTCAACGCATGAACTGGCTAAGAAGCCCCCAGGCATTTCGAACAGTCTCCGGGTTCCAAACATCTTGGTGTGCCTCTGTCTCCTCATCGTGTTCCTGTGTCTGAGGGCAGCTGGAGGACGAGACCCAGGACATCGACAAGTCTCTCGGCCGGTGGTGGCCACACATCGTCTGTTCAGTTCCACCAGGGAAGTGGCCACGAGAGCAGAGGAATTTGCGTGGAAGAGAAGGAAGAAGCGGGGGATTGCTGTCTCCTGGATCCCCAGTAGCGGACAGGAGGCATGGGCCTGCTCCCAGCCTTCTTGTTCCCTGCCCCTCCCCAGTCACGTCCATGGGAACAAGCACTTGATGGCCTGGGGTTTGCGGACCGCTTGGGAGCGGGAAGCAGGCAGAGTGCTGGGAACGGGGGCTGTGTCCACCCAGCTCTGATCTGGGCTTGAGCCACTGTCTCTGCCTCTGCAGTCGAGTTCCCTCAAGGCTGTTGACAACTTTCAAGTGACTGAGCCCCTGCAGGAAGTGCTCAGGGACAAGCTCAGAGCTGGAAGAGCAGTGAGGGTGCTTGGGTAGCAGCAAGGGGAGGCAGCAGCTGAGCTGGCTGGGGCGTAGAAGAGCTGAAGGCCAGGGCCTTGCCACACGCAGGCCAGAGCTGTGCCTCACTGCTGCTTCCCTAAGGTGCTCTGTGGATCCGGGGCACGGGGACCATCCTGGCAGCGATGTGGCGCTGACTATAGGGACAGACTAAAGCTCACCTTAAAGCCCTCAGCCCATGGTTGTGTCCAGGGTCCTCTGCCCCTGCCTGCTTCCCAACCTCCTCCCAGGGGCTTCAGAGAGATACCTGGGAGGGGAGGCATGGCATTGCCCTCAGGGAGTGACCTGTGTTTCTAATCAGAGGCTCTGGAACCTCCGATGTGTCCCCGGATGAGAGATCAGGCCCAGTGGCACAGCAGCTCCCTGGGGATTCAGCTTGGGGGGTCCCAGGGGCACCTTGTCTCACTGAGAGACTGTCTGGAAAGGGTGGTCCCAGGCCATGAAGCCATTCCCCTCAAGCTTTTCTTCTCTGAATTGCTTAGCAGGAGACGTGGGGTGGCTGGGCTCGGGTGGGGGCAGGGGGGAGAATGGCAGGGACGGTCAGGGTGCATGTGTAGGAAACATCACACTGTTCACAGTTCACAGCAGCGTGACGCTCATGACAAATTCTCGCAAAGGCTGAGGTCCTCGTCGCCCTTGTGACCATGCAGCCCCCTCACCTGGGATAACGGGAATTAGAATATCAGAAATGCCTCAGGAGTGTAGGCCTAGAGTCTTTTGTCACTCACCGCTATCCTCCGCACAGCCATCCTTCTCCCACTGCTGTCACTGTTACCACCTTCCCATCATAACCACCTCTATCATCATCAGCACCATCCCTCCCATCATTGCCATTCCCCCCACATCCCACCACTTTTATTGTCACCATAATCACAGCCACCATTGTCATCACCACCATCATGACATCTTCACCATTATTGCCACTGTTACCATCACGCCATCATCATACCATTACCTGTCACCATTGTTATCTTTATGATCTCATTGACATCACCATCACGGTCACTATTGTCATCTTCATCGTCATCCCCACTACCATCCCATTGTCACCGCCACCATCCATCCATCACCACCATCACCATCCATCCCCTCACCACCATCACCATCCATCCCCTCGCCACCATCACCATCCATCTCCTCACCACCATCACCATCCATCCCCTCGCCATCACCACCGTCCTTCCTCTCCCCACCATTGCCACTATCCACCCCATTGTCCCCATCAATCATCTTTAGCTCTAGCAATAGCAGAGGGCAGGAGGAGCCTTGGAAAATTCTCTCCTTACTCTTCAGAGAGGAGCCTTGGCCACTGCTATTTCAAGGGCAGATTCCAAGCCCTGACTGCTCCATCTAACCTGCTTCTTCGGGGTGAGAAGGGTCTGGGAGCAGAGGCCTGTGGCAGGGTTTGTGACCTAAGCCGGGTTTTTTGTTTGTTTGTTTGTTTTTTGGGTCACACCCAGCAATGCTCAGGGGTTACTCCTGGCTCTGCACTCAGGAATTACTCCTGGCGGTGCTCAGGGGACCATATGGGATGCTGGGAATCGAGCCCAGGTCAGCCACGTGCAAGGCAAATGCCCTACCCGCTGTGCTATTGCTCCAGCCCCCTAAGCCATGGTTTTGAATCACCCAGTAATTTGGGGTGTGAAGTCCTGATGCTGGACTTGCACCCGGACTAGTTTAGTTCCATCAGCCCCTCTGTGGATGGAGGAGGACCCCTGTGGCTCTGCTCAGTAGCCAGTGACCAACGCCAGCTCCAAGGCATCCTCAGAGGTGTGATAGGAGATGGTTTCCAAGTTGTGATGTGCACAGGCATCTTGATAAAGCACAGAGTCTGCTGGTGTTCAGTGTCTCCCATCCCAGCCTCATTCGAAAATGGAAGCGCGGAAGCGCTGTTGTCCTCAGGACGGTCTACATGGGCATCTCCAGTGAGAGGCCCCGAGACCATCTGGCTGCCCCGGGATTCTGTCTCTCGGGTGGGAGCACTCCTGTTCTCAGTTGTGGGGTCTAGAGATTCAGGGTCAGCTGCAAGGAAAGATGCTGCTGATGAGCAGCCTGCAGTCCCATCATCCGGCTGGATCCTGTCCTTGTCCCTGGGCCTTTAGTCGTGGGGACAGGGTTGGAGACCTGGCTTGGCCCGAGAGCAGAGACGGGGCCCTCCTTCCTCAGAAATAGCCCTTGGGAGTCAGGGGTGCCCCGGGAGTCGACAGCGCCAGAGTGGGCGAGTGGATGGGCCCATCTTTTCCTGCTGACCCCACTTCCAATCAAACCTGCCCCCTGGCACCCCCCCCCCCCAACCTGCCTGAATCTCCTGCTTTGCCCTCCTGGTGCCTTCAGCTCTCCTGGTGAAGCGCTTAGCCCTGTGAAGGGGATCCCGAGAAGAGGTTGGCTGAGGCCACGTGGAAGCCAGGCCCTGCCTGTTTTGGGCATCCCCTTGGGCACAGGCCACACCCCTCTAATCCAAGGTAGCAGGGCCAGAGCCGGGAGCCAGCCGTGATCCCCTAAGTGCTGCCCAGTAACCTGAGAGCGGCTGGCCAGCACACGGGCTTCCTCTCTGTCAGGAGCAGCTGCTGCATGGCTGCAGGGACTGGATGGGCTGCTCGCTGCTGGGCTCCTCCCTGGGTGTGCCCAGGGCCAGTTTGGAGGATCCGGGAGGCCGTGAACGGGGTGGGGCAGAGCAGGCAGGCAGACAGACAGAGCCGCAGCCGAGCTCCCCACAGCCGGAGTCCGTGACTGACGCTCGTGTTCTGATCGTTTAGAACTGCGGGAAGACGGCGGCTTGTCGGAGAGGCGCCTCTCTGCGGGAGATGCGAGTCTAGAGGAGAAGGAAAGGGGACTCTATGCCGAGGCCTCCCCGCAAGACCAGAGTCTGCGCCTTCAGTCCCCGGATGGCAGGGAGGCCACCGACCCTGAGCAGCCTCCCGTGGGCGCCCCCACACTCACTGAAGCAGGCCCCTCCAATGCCTCGGCCTCAGAGTCAGCCGCCCCAGGGGACCTTCCAGGGACCCCGCTCCCAGGAGTGGTGGGAGAGCCCGGTTCCACAGAGGGCGCCTCAGAGGAGGGGGCTGGGCCGGGGCTCCCCACGGAAGAAGCCGAAGCAGCAGCTGGCAGTGACGGGGCCCTCAAGAATGACACAGAGGGTGTCGGGGCTGAGGCGGGAGGACACCCCGACAGTCCGAGCACTGAGCAGGAGCCGGCTGGGCCAGGCCGGGTGGAGACGGACGCCCAGGAGGGCAGCGAGCCCACACAAGACAAGCCCCCCACAGGTGGCGGGGACGAGACCCCCACGGAAAGTGCCAGCCCCAGCGGGGATGGAGGCGAGGAAGTTCTGTCCCAGGAAGACTCTGCAGAGGATAGTGGAGACGGAGCCAGTTCAGAAGAAGCTGGGGATGCGTCTGGGGAAGCCGCGGAATCCTCTGAGGAAGAGGAGGAACCCCTGGAAGCCAGTACACCACCTCAGGAAGCCGGGGACTCCCCCAAAGAAGCTGGGACACCCCTTGAGGAAACAGTAGTATCTCAGGAAGCCAGCACACCCTCTGAGGAAGCCGGGACACCCTCTGAGGAAGCTGGGACACCCCCTGAGGAAACAGTGGTACCTCAGGAAACCAGCACACCCTCCGAGGAAGCCGGGGCACCCCCTGAGGAATCAGAGGCACCCCCTGAGGAAACAGTGGTACCTCAGGAAACCAGAACACCCTCTGAGGAAGCTGGGGCATCCCCTGAGGAAACAGTGATACTTGAGGAAGCCGGCACACCCTCTAAGGAAGCTGGGGCATCCCCTGAAGAAGCCGGGGCACCCCCTGAGGAAGCAGCAGGAAGCACAAGCCCTGAGGAAGAGCAAGCCCAGCTGAGCTCAGAGGAGCCAAGTGCTGAGCCCCCAGGGGCCGAGACCCAAGTCGCTGAGGCCCAGGAGCCCCGGGAGGGGCCTCAGGGTAGGGCACCCCAGCATTCCGCGGGTGCAGCAGCTGAGAGATGAGCGCGGGCCTTAGGAACACTGGTGTGTGGTGGGGTGGAATCCTGCTCCTAGAGCCTGACCCTCAGGACAACTTCAGGTGTTGGTTAGGGCTGTGTGCTGGGCGATGGTTTTTCTGGCCATTAGGGTCCCTCAGTACTCTGAGCACTGACCAGTGCTTGGACCTAAGGCAAGAGCACCAAGCAGCCCTGGAGGCCCTGTTCGGACTGGTCGGGGGTGTGGGGGTTTGTGCTGTGGGGCTGTTGGGAGTCTGGGGACCTGCCATGTTTTGCCAGCACTTAGGTTTCCCCACGAAGGTGAGCTGCTGCCTGGCAGGCTCGGAATGGGATCAGGAGAGCAAGGGGTCCCCAGGCTGGCTGCTCCTGCACCCACAACTGCCTCTTGGGCTGGGGCCAGGAAGGGAGAGGAGCAGGGATGCCGGGTCGGGGCGCTGGGGGTGACTGGCCCCTGGGCATCGCCGGCAGCCTGGCTTGTCCTCTGGCTACGCCCACTGGTCTTGGGACCTGGGTCCTTCTCCCCTCTCCGGGGCTGTTTTCTCTCTGCTTCCTACGGAAGTCCCACCCACAGGACCAGAGTCAGTGTCCTGCTGGCTTCCAGGCTCTTGCCCGCAGGCCTGACTCCAGTCCCTTGTGGAAGCCCCCGAACCTTGGGTGCCATCGGCTGTGTGGTTAGAGCAACTGCTGGGAACGGGCACACCTGTCTCCATCTCCTGTGCCCGAAGCCCTTTGTTCCCGCTCCTGCTCTGCCAGCATCTGTGTGAGCCCCCCGTACATATCCACTGTACCGTGGGGCTCGCTTGGAGCCCCCAGTTCCCAGTGGCCTTGGGGAGCCAGAGACGGGCTCTTGGGGGTACTGTCAGTCCCTTGACAGTCTTCTGATATCCAGCCACTCAGCCCTGCCCCCCTCCTTCTGGGAAACTTCTCAGTGAAGTTTGCTGGACGCCCCCTGCCAATACTTCACACACAGCTTCACGTGTGTGTAAAGTTTCTGGAATCTTCTTGTAGTTTCTGGAATCTTCCATGGCCTTGCTTGCTCGTACTGATGCCATACTGCCCTGGTTATTCTCCCCTCTCTGCACTGCCCCAGGGCAGGATCTGTGTCTGTCCTTGGCCTCTCCTGCCCTGTGTTAAGTGGGACCTCTCAGTGGGAAGACCAAGCGGTTTCCAGACACGGCTGGGGGCAGAAGCCCTGACCTGAGTTCTGCTCCTGCCCCCAGACGATGCAGAGGATGTGAGTGAAGAGGCCCCACTGAGGGACCGCTCCCACATCGAGACCACGCTGATGCTGAACGAGGACAAGCCCTCGGACGACTACTCTGGTAACTGGAGGTGGGGGCCGGTCGGGAGGCACTGTGCGGAGGGCCTCACGACCAACCCTGGCACCACGGCTGGCACAGAAGTTCTGACGTGGCCTACTTGTTGCCGCCTCTCGGGCCAAGGACCATTTGTCCTGGACAGATGAGGCCTGCCCTTCCTGTCTCGATGAGCGCAGCCCGTACAGCTGTACAGCCAGCCCTGTGCTGAGGCCTCAGGGCTAGGAAGGGCTTAGGCAGGGTTTGTACAGCCTGACCTGCCAATGGCCACCCACTCTGTCCCCCCCAGGCCCTCAGAGCTCCCTCACACCCCTCCCCCAGGCACCCCCTGGGCCCATGCGGCTGTCAGGGGCCCTCTCGCCCTGCCCCCTGGCCTGTGACTAGGCAGGCCACGGAGGGAGGGGGCAGAGAGCAGGAGGGCGCTTGGAAGGGAAATGGCGCAGAGGCCCCTGGGTTGGTTTCTGCGGCTTGGGTGGGGGCCCATCCTCTCACCCACCCTCTCCCCCAGCTGTGCTGCAACGTCTTCGGAAGATCTACCACTCGTCCATCAAGCCCCTGGAGCAGTCGTACAAGTACAATGAGCTCCGGCAGCATGAGATCACAGGTAGGCTCTGCTGTGTGGGCGCCCTGGCAGCCATGCCAGCTCCTCTCCAGTCTCCTCAGCTCCCCTGATCCTCAGTCCTCTCCCTGTTGGCTTCTCTTGGCTCCAGATTCTTTTAAAGAAGGGTTTTTAGGGATTGGAGAGATAGTCCAGCGGGGAGGGCGATTACCTTGCATGTGGCCGACCCGGGATTGATCCCAGCATCCCATATGGTCCCCTGCACACCGCATTCCTGAGTGGAGAGCCAGGAGTGACCCCCTGAGCAACACCAGGTGTCACCCTGGGTATCGAACCTGGAGTTCCTGCTCCCAAGATGCTAGCCCTCACAGCTCCTGAACCCTTCTAGACACTTCCTCTGCGCATGCACATGTCAGAGCCTGTCCTTTGCCATCCTGCAAAGGCTGATGGCGTTTCAGGAGCAGGATCGTGGCCTCTTCTGCCCATCCATCTTTGTGCCCCCCCCCATCTCATTCCTCGGCCCTTCTTGCCCACCGCTGCAGCAAGCACTACTGCACTCCTTGGGAACCTTTGCAGGAGACACTTCTGGAAGCAAGGGCAGGAACGAACGGTTTGGACACGTGGCTGGGTATTTGGATAGATCCGTCCCAGGGGCGATGCTCTGTCTGAGCTTCCGTGCCGAGGGTCTGGACTAGCAGGTGTGGCTTGGTGTTTTCTTCAACAACTGTGGACTCCACTCTCCCCTCTCCCGGCCCTCCCGCCGGTCTCTGGGACCCTGCTCCTGGGAAGGGCATTGGCTCCATGCTGTGTCTCTGAGTCACCACCCCAGGGCTCACCAGCTGCCACATACCAGTGCCGCCCCCTGCTGCCCAGAGCTGGAACAACAGCTCTGAGAAGGCCCTGTTGGGGTTTGCTGGAGTTGTGCCCCCTTGGGATCTTGGTACCCCCGAAAAGAACTTTTGTGCAGAATCTCTGGGAACTTCACTGGGGCCTTCTGCTGCCCCTCAGCCAGCCTTGTTCTCCCCAGGGGCCCACAGCTGTGTCACAGGCCTGGGACCCTTCTGGCAGTTGGTTTGCATTTCTGAGACCTCACCCACCTGAGGTGCCCAGGGCTGAGAAGGCCTTATAGCCAGAGGCTGGGTGCAGAGAAAGGCCTGCAGCAGGCCAGGGGGGAGGTTCAAGGGGCCACACCTGCGGTCTGGGTGCACTCCAAGGTGCGGTCCTATGCAGGGCAAGTGTCCCACTGGGAGTAGTCCTTTGAGCACCAGAGGTGGGACCCTTCCAGGAAGTAGAAGAGGACTGTGGGGGCCCCCACTGCCCAACTATGGGCTTGAAAGGTCGTGGGACCCCAGTGAGAGCGGGACTTGAGGTCTGCGGAGTTTGGAGGGCCAGGCCATGCTCTCTGCGCCAGACTCTGACTGTGGGCCACCAGGCGGCAGCTTGCTCAGGTAAACGGGGCGGGGAGAGCGCGCAGGCTCTGAGGCCTCTGCCAGGCACACAGGGAGTCAGGGAGGTCTGGAGAACTAAAGGGGCTTGTGGAGGTGGGATGACCCTCGGCCAGGTTTGCTGTGACCCATGGTCGGCCTCAGAGCCAGTGGAGGCTCTCCCAAAGCCTCTCCTGACCCTGCCCTGGTTTCACAGCTCTGGGGCGTGTAGCCTGCCCTTCCTTCACACCCCACTGGAGTGGCCCAAGCAGGCTGTCTCCATGCACTGGTCCCGAGCTGCCCAGCCTGTTCTTGGTCTTAGATGTAGGCAGATCGCTGTGGCCTTGGGGTGACCCTGGAGATGGGCTCCAGAGGGGGCCAGAGCAATTGTAGGGCAGTTAGGGTGCTTGCCTAGCACGTGGCTGATGCGGATTTCATCTTGGCATCCGTATAGTCCCCCGTGCCCCACCAGGGGTGATCCCTGAGTGCAAAGCCAGGTGTGGCCCCCAAACAAAAGCGAAAATGGGGCTGGACCCCAGAGCCCGGAGTGGGGGCAGTGTCGGGGGCACTGCCCAGGGGAGGCATGGCTGGGTTGGCCGGGCCAGAGTGTAGCCTGTCCTCCGGGGCTGTGGCTGGGCTTCCCTCCTGATGGCCACCCCGTCTGCCTCTTTGTGATCCTCCATACCCCCGCTGTTGCCTTTCCTCACTCTCCTGCGGCTGCCTTGTGCGCAGGGCCTAGCGAGGCAGGACGGTGACTTCCCTGAAGGCAGGGTAGCACTTCTGTAAGCAAGAAAAGTGCAGAGGGCTTGGACAGGCTGAGCCTGCAGGATGTCCCGTCCCCCCCGCCACCAGCTGGCATGCCTAGGAAGCCATGGTGAGAGTCCGGGCCGGTTCACATTCGTTTCTCGTTCACGCCACCTGCAGATGGGGAAATTACTTCTAAGCCAATGGTGCTGTTCCTGGGGCCATGGAGTGTCGGCAAGTCCACGATGATAAACTACCTCCTTGGGCTGGAGAACACGCGCTACCAGTTGTACACAGGTAACAGGGTGTTTTGGGGTCCACCGCAAAAGTGAGAATTCCCTGGTCCGTGAAACAGAGTTTACAAAAGAAACTAACGGGGACATCTCTGTGCCCAGAGTGGTGACAGTGGCCCAGGTAGAAGCAGGAAATGTCAGTGAGAGGAGCATGGATGGAGTAGCATTCGGCATTGGAAGGGCACCTGTGCCCGCCCCACCTCCTGGTGCCAGCGAGAGAGAGAGAGAGAGAGAGAGAGAAGAAGGGAGGGAAGGAGGGAGAGAGAAAGGAGAGAGAAGGATGAAAAGCGGGAAGAAGGGAAAGAGAAAGGAGAGAGAGAAGGATGGAGGGAGGGAAGGAGGGAGGAAGGAGGGAGAAAGGAGAGAGAGGGATGAAGAGAGGGAAGAAGGGAGAGAGGGAAAGAGAGAGGGGGTTGTGGGGAGAAGTGGGAGTTAGGGGACCTATAAGTTTGGCGCTTGTTCTGGAGACGTTAGATTACACCACAGTGGGAATGAATGAATGCCACTAAACCGTCTGCTCCAAAATGGTGTTTGGGGGTTGGGGAGACAGCTCTGTAAGCTTGATTTACGAGCCTGACGTGGCCCCCTGAGCACTGCCGGGAGTGACCCCTGAGCACTGAGCTGGGAGCAGTCTTGGAGCATTGCCAGATGCGGCCCAAAAGCAAAAGTGGAAGATTTTATGTTTCGTGCAGGGCAAGTTGATCACTCAAGTTGCTGACCACATGCTTAGTTCAGTCCCCGGTGCTGTGTGGCACCCCCCTCGAGGTGTTCTGTCTCGTATATTATGTGACAATTCGGAAAAAAAGCCAGGAGCCCCTGGCTTGGGCTGGCCCTCCCATGCCCCCTCTCAGTGAGACTGCGCCCACCCCCCTCACCCCGCAGGTGCTGAGCCCACCACGTCCGAGTTCACGGTTCTCATGCACGGGCCCAAACTGAAGACCATCGAGGGCATCGTGATGGCCGCAGACAGCGCCCGCTCCTTCTCCCCCCTTGAGAAGTTTGGCCAGAATTTCCTGGAGAAGCTCATTGGCATCGAGGTTCCCCACAAGCTTCTGGAGCGGGTGACTTTTGTGGACACCCCGGGAATCATTGAGAACCGCAAACAACAGGAAAGAGGTACGTCCTCATCTCCCCCTGCCAGCTAGGGTGTCCAGCCTTGGGCTAGTGGGCAGTAGGAAGGTGTGGAAAGAAAGCAGTGCTGGCCAGGCAGCCCATATCCTTAACCTCCTGTCCTTTTCTGTGGCTACTGTAGGGCCGCTTAGGGTGGGCAGACTGGCCCTTTTTCTCCCCAGGTCCAGCTGGAGGCCAGCGACATTTTCCCCAGGGATGCGGGGCTGGTCTCAAGGAGGCCCTGGGGGAACAAGCTGAGCTGGAACCATTTGGAGGAGGCTCAGCGTGTCCACAGAGATCCATGGCTAGACTGACCTCTGGCTGGGTGTACTTGACCTCAGGCTGACCTGGTCAGGAGTGAACCTTCAACCTCCTGCCTGTGCGGACCCTCCCATGGCCCCACCGACCTTCAAGTGGCGAGGAGTGCCACTGTGGGTCTGGCGGGACAGCCCAGGGCATCCACAGAGTCCCCCGCTGGAGAGGGAGTCCCTGGCCCTCTCAGGCCCCCACTTAGCCATCCAGTTGCTGACGGTCCACTTGCGCTCAGAGAACCCGTGGGATAAGCCACTGGCCGTTGGTCTCTGTACAGGCATTTGGAGACAGGTATTCCGAGGCTCTTCACTTTGGAAGCAAATGTTACGGGGATTAACCGCCCGGCGCCTCGGGTGTTCCTGGCAGGGGTAGCAGGCGCGTTCCTATTTCATAGCATCAGCACCATCTTTACAGAGACAAGACGTTCTCGTCGATCTCATCATTTTGTAGTGAAAACGAGAAAGCCAGGTCGCACTGACTGCATGGCAGCCAGAGGCAGAGCCGTGGCTCTGGGATAGCTCTGTCAGGACCTCACCTCTGGCCCCTGCGGGACACGCCTCCCTCCCCGCCTCTGCTGCTGCAGCCCCTGCTCCCGGGAGGGCCAGGGGGGCGGCTCCGGAACGGACAAGCATCCGCTTTCCTGGGACTTGGGTTCTGCTGCAGATTTGTACCAGGGCCGGACTGTTGGCGAGGGCCGGTGGGGGAGCGATTCGTTCAGTCCTCAGCAGTCCAGGAACCCTGGCACTGGACTTCTGTCTCCCAGGGCTGCGGCACGTACCATGTGCATGTGTGATATGGGTGTGCGTGCATGGATGCGTGTGGGGGTGGGAGGACTCAAGGGAGGCTCTGCTGACCTCTCGCTCCCTCGGCCCCTCCCCCAGGCTACCCCTTCAATGACGTATGCCAGTGGTTCATTGACAGAGCCGACCTCATCTTTGTCGTCTTTGACCCCACCAAGCTGGATGTGGGGCTTGAGCTGGAGACGCTCTTCCGCCAGCTGAAGGGCCGCGAGTCCCAGATCCGGATCATCCTGAACAAGGCCGACAACCTGGCCACACAGATGCTCATGCGGGTCTACGGGGCACTCTTCTGGAGCCTGGCGCCGCTCATCAATGTCACTGAGCCGCCCCGTGTGTACGTCAGTTCCTTCTGGCCTCAGGACTACCGGGCCGACACCCACCGGGAACTCTTCCTGCAGGAGGAGATCTCCCTGCTGGAGGACCTGAACCAGGTGATCGAGAACAGGCTGGAGAACAAGATCGCCTTCATCCGCCAGCACGCCATCCGCGTGCGCATCCACGCCCTGCTGGTCGACCGCTACCTGCAGACCTACAAGGACAAGATGACCTTCTTCAGCGACGGGGAGCTGGTCTTTAAGGACATCGTGGAGGACCCCGACAAGTTCTACATCTTCAAGACCATCCTGGCCAAGACCAACGTGAGCAAGTTTGACCTCCCCAACCGTGAGGCCTACAAGGACTTCTTCGGCATCAACCCCATCTCCGGCTTCAAGCTCCTGTCGCAGCAGTGCTCCTACATGGGGGGCTGCTTCCTGGAGAAGATCGAGCGGGCCATCACCCAGGAGCTCCCTGGCCTCTTGGGGAGCCTTGGGCTCGGCAAGAACCCTGGGAACCCCAACTGTGACAAGACAGGCTGTACGGAGACACCCAAGAATCGCTATAAGAAACACTAGGGCGTGGGGCCGTGTCCGGGCCCTGTGACTGAGGAGCCTATGCCCTGACTGTCTGGCTCACTGGCCCTTTGGGCCTCACTGGCAAGAAGCCCAGTGGCACCCGGGGAGCATGGGAGCTGCCGAGACCCGGGGACAGGCGGGCAGGACCCTGGGCAGCCACTCCCACCCTCGGAAAGCAGCTCTATGCCGAGGCGGCAGAGAGCTGGGGGCTCTGCCTCCCCTGTGCCCCCACCCCTAGCCTCCTGTTCTGCCCTGACCCCTTTGTCCTGGGTTGACTTTCTGCAGGGCGATTGTGGGGGTCGGGGTCCCCGGGTCCTCTTCCCATTTCCTCAGGGGCTGGGCGGACGGTCTGGGATGCCACACTCTGAGAGAGAATCATGGGCCCCCAGACGGGAGAAGGGTCTGCCCCAGTCACCCCCACTTCCCTAACGCCGCCTCCCAGCCCTTGACCAGCCCCGAGACCGGGGGTGGGGTGTGTGTGTATGTGTGTGTGTGTGTGTTCAGAGTACTCAGGTCCTTGACTCCTGGGAAGTAACTTGAGGGAAAGTTCTGGAAGGGCTCTGAGGGGGCGTTGGTTTGCAGTGTGTGTCTTTGTCTGTTGCATGTCTTGGAAAACTCCGGGGGCGCTGGGTCTGAGGACAGTAGCAGCTCGCTCCTTGGGGACTCTCAGCGTCCCGCTTCAGTGGAGGCTGCCTCCCTCGGGGCGCCCTGACCGTCTCCTCCCTCCTCTGTGCCCCACTGGGCACCCCAGATTCAGGTGCCCCCAGCCCTGCTGTGGCCCAGGACTGTGATGTGAACCTCTAGGACCCTGGCCCAGAGATCCGGGAGACCCAGAGGCGGGTGAGGTGGGTGGGGTGAGGGGCACAGAGGAAGGATGGGTGAGGGCTGCCGCGGGGCCAGGGGAGATCCTGGAGGAGAGAAGCCGAGAGGGGAGGAGGTGAGTGGGGGGCGGATGCAGCGCCCCGGCCGGATGCCCACGGGGGCCGTGTCCGGGACAGGAGTTCAGTGCACGTGTGCGAGGCGCAGAGGGAGAAGCATGTGAGTGTTTGGGCGGAGACGGCGTGGTCAGCCGGTGTGGTGCGGGCAGAGTTCCCGAGTGCTCATAGGGGCAGCGCCTGCTGGGCCGGCACCAGGGTTTGGGCAAGGCTGAGTCTGAGAAGGTCCGCGGAAAGGCCAAGGGGCCACCGCCATCTCTTCGGAACGTTCCTGCCCCGCCCAGCCTCACGCCTCCAGCCTCGGTGTCCCCAGTTTCCTCTGCACCATTTCACAGGGAAGGAATGGAGGCACAGTGGGGACTGTGGTGCTGGTCGGTGGCGGCCCTCGCCACTGCGTTGGGGCATGAGGGAGGCGGGGAGGTTCCGGCGGGGTTTCCTGTTTCTGGGGAGCCTCAGTCTCGGCACATGCTCCTCCACCTCTTTGTTTTTGCTTTTGTCTTTGGGCCGCGTCCAGGGGCTCCCGCGGTGCTGGGGATGGAACCCCGCCTCCTGCATGCGAGGCAGTGCTCAGCCCCTCAGCCCACTCCGTGCCCGGCCCTCAGCTCTTCTCTCCTCCAGCCACTCTCCTTTCTTGCCCGTCCAGCCTTCCATGCGGGCCCTCCCCGTCTCGCCATCTCACCTGCCCGTTCCCGAGCGCCCCGCTGCCTGGTTGGTGCCCAGCCTCGGGGAGTGGGTCTCCAGGGAGCTCTGACTTTTGGGGGGTGGGGGAATTTAGGATCCGGGGATGTCCTAAAGGGAGGCTCTCCGAGCATTATGTGCCGCAGTGGTGGCTGTCCCGCGCCAAAGCAAGTTTCCAGCGAGTCCTTCCGGGAGAAAGTCTCAATAAAGCGCCAGTCCGTCCTTACCATGGGGTACCGCTCTATTGTCTCCAGCTGCGCGAGTGTCCGCCTCCTGAGTCTGAGCGCACTGCTTCTATCCACTTGACTTGGCAAGGCCATCTGAGGCCCATAGGGAAATCGAGAGGAAGAGATTCCTCCAGCCTCCTGCGGTCCCCCCTCTGCTGTCACTGGCGCCCTGTCCCTACAGAGCTTCACTCTGTGATGAGGCTGAAATCCAGAGTTCACCCAGTGGTCGCTCCTGCCAGCAAACATTCTACGCGTTTGGATTAGTGACAGGCACCCACCATTATCAAGTGATTTCGTGGCCCTCAGACTCCTGTGCTCTGCCGTTCATTCTGCCCTGACCTCGTGTGCGTGGCCCCCTCCACTGCTCCCAGACTCTGGCGAGTTAGCTGACTTCCTTTCCTGGCCCTGAAGCCAGGGTTTTCCCCCAAATCAGGAATAGAAAATCACTCCTGAGCACCTGAATGGGTCATTCTCTCTGCCCCCATGGGGGACTGTGTCCCGGGCACTCTGTCCCAGCCCAGCAGGGCAAGGGCAGCCCTGCCCTGGTGAGCAGGACCCGTCTTCAGAGAGGCAGGAACACATCCCTCCATTAGAGCCTCTTTGATCTGCTTTTCCTGAGGGCTTCCCACGCCAGCACGTTCCCCCAGAGGAAAGAACTGGACCCTTGGGATGAAGGGGCAGCTGGAGAGGAAGAGACCGAGATGGAGAGACACATCTGCCTGGTGGAAACCAGAGCGGAAGGCACCACACTCGGGGCTTCCAGGGAGGTGAGATGGTGGGGGCAAGGCGGCCCTTCCCCCCGCTCCCCTGCTCTGCTCTCCCCGGGGGTCTGAACCCCTGACTAAGGCTGCACTGAGCCACCTACCCTATGTCCACCTTGCCCATGCCACCGGCTGCCTTCACTGGGAACTGTAGGTACTTGGCCCACCTGCTCCCCAAAGTGGATGTGGTAGGTTTGGAAGCTTAGTGAACGCCCCGTCCCGTTCGTGTGTGTAAGAAATGAGGCAATTTTGCCAGTCCCAGATCCATTCCCTCTGCCCCTTCATATTGGCCGTCAAGGTGATGAAGAATCGGGGACAGTCATGTAGAATGCAGGACGCTAGTGAAACACCAGCCCGGATGTGATCAACAGTGTTGGGAATGGCGGGGGTGGGGAGCAGCGAGGGAGTGTGGGGGTGCTTGTGGGGCATCTGTGTTGCCGTAGGTGAAAGGTGTACGAACACCAGCACCGAAAGCCCAGGGGAAATGTGCTTGTGAGTTTCTGTGGCCAGATGGTGCCCAAGTACCTGGCATGGTGCCTCTGGCCTGAGTGATGATCTGGGAGAGCCAAGATGGGGTCCGTGTTGTATGTGGCGTGGGCAGGGATGTGGCTGAGCGTATGTGTGATGATGAGAGTGTGGATCACAGACCGGGAACCACTGTGTAAATGGGCGTGTATATGAGGGGAGTGCTAGGCTACTCAGGCAGGGTGGATCACGGGGAGAACCTGCTCTCCTGGGCCCTGCAGGACTCAGGGGTCACTGGCAACTGGAGGTGCCAAGTCTGAGCCTCTGCAGACTCCCGGCTGCTGCCATGTTCATGCTGGCTCCACTGTCCAGGACTTCGGGCTTAATCTTTCCCCAATCCAGGCAACTTTGATTTCTTTACAAAACAAAACACAATAAAAAGAAGATAAAAAAAAAAAAGGAGTCAAAATGAGAGCCACATGTTAGGCTGGCTCGCGGAGTAGGCTTGAGACTCTCCTGTCTTGCTCTCTGGAAGAAGTCACATGGCCAGTCAGAGTTTGCTCCAGAGAATATATTCTCTGCTGATGTAGGGGCCAACTCCTACAGCACCTCCATCGTGCCAGCAGCTGGGCCCAAGCTCTGCCCACATATTCCCAGCCCAACCCGAAGGTGACGCTCAGCTTCTGCGAGCTTACAGAGCTGCGGTGCTCCCTGCAGGCCGAGGTGCTCCCTGCAGGTGCTCCCTGTAGAGCTCCCTGGGTCTGACCCTGGCGCATCTTACCCGAGGCGCAGCCTCAGCTTCTCTGGGCTCTTCCTCATGGGCAACACGGAAGTATCCGTCATCCCTCTCTCAGGGGGCTGTGATGAGGATTAAGGACTTAATGCACACGCAGCACACCTGCAACAGACACGGAAGCGTTCCCCAAACACTCTGCTCTGTTGTCACAGAGCTTTGTGAGAAAGCGGCAGAGCAGCTGAGAGGATGGTATGTAGAAACAAGAGCTGGAATTTCTGACATCTGAGTCACCTTGCAAGACACGCCAGGTCACTTGTCAGGTTGTTGGAGTTTTAAAAAAATCTTGACATTTTAATTTTTTGGTTTTTGGGCCATACCCAGCAGTAGGAGAGGGCTTACTCCTGGCTTTCCACTCAGAGATCATTCCTGGTGGGTGCTAGGGATTCAAACCTGTGCCGGGGATCAAACCTGGGTCAAGGCACGTGTGAGGTAAGTGCCTATCCACTGTGCTATCTCTCCTGCCCCAAGACAAAGTGAGGTCTCTCAGCAATGCGAAGTCTCAGTATTAGGCTAACTCTGGTTTGTCTCATCCCTAATCCTTTTCCTCATGTTCACAAAACGGTCAAAATTCAGAGTTGCTTGAATTTTCAAATAGTAACTGGGGGACTGGAGAGATGGGTCAATGGGCAGAGCTCAAACTTTGCATGCAGGAAGCTTGGGTTTGATCCCCTTCACCACATGGTCACCTGAACACAATCTAGAACAATCTCCAAGTTCAGTTGGAACCTTGAAGCTGCTGGTAACAAAATTTAAAACGTTTCAAAATAACTTAAAAAAGAAAAGGAAAGGGGGCTGGAGCTATATTATGGCAGGGAGGGCACTTGCCTTGCATGTCCCTGACCAGGGCTTGATCCCTGGCACTCCATATGGTCACCCAGGAGTAATTCCTGAGTGCAGAGCCAGGAGCAACCCCTGAGCACTCCTGGGTGTGACTCCCACACCAAAAAAAAAGGAAAAGAAAGAAAAAAGTAAAAGAAAGGTGTTTGGAGAGATACTACGGCGGGTTAAGGCTCTTTCCTTGAACACTCTTCTGGTGCCCTCAACACTACCAGGAATGATCCCTGAACACAGACTCACGATTAAGCCTTGTGTACCACCAACCGTTGTTACTGTGTCTGGCATATCGAATACATCCTATTATGACATCTTATTATCTCATTCCTACTTTGGACAAACTGGCAGGCTACCGGATGTAGCCTGCCCACACGGCAGAGTCTGGCAAACTCCCTGTGGCGTACCCAATATGCCAAATACCAGTAACAATGATGGGTCTCACTCTCCTAAAGAGCCTTGAATATAATCTCAGGGCTAGGATGAAGGAGACGTTACTGGGGCCTGCTCGAGGCAATCGACCACCAACCGTGGCCCAAATCCCACCCCACACTCAAAAAGATTGTGCTCATTGCAACATTCTTTGAGGACTATTTCCTGAAATGCAACAAAAACAGTAAAAAACAATATGACCTTAAGTCTACCTCACCATGATCATTGTTAGCTCACAGGAGAGCCAACAAACCAGAAATTCTAGCTGGTCCATGTTCTTCCTGTCCCCTCCGTTCTACTCTCTGTCACCTTGGTTTGTGTTCACCCAGAGCCAAGACCAAGTTGCACGTGGCGCATTTTTTTCCTGATTCTCAGTGACGAATATGTGAAGTTCACAGTACATATGGGTTCTATTACCATTTGCTCCAAGTTTCTGGCTTTGTTTTCCCACTACAGCTTCAAAAGATTTGGAATTTTTTCGGGGTAGTGGGGAATTACACTCAGCAGTACTCAGGGATTTCTCCTGGTTCTGTGCTCAGGGATCACTGCTATTCAATGCCAGGGATTGAACTGGGATCTGTCACATGCAAGGCAAATGCCTTACCCATTGTGCTATCATCTCTCTGACCCTAAAAGATTTGGAATTTTCGGGGCTGGAGCGATAGCACAGCGGGTAGGGAGTTTGCCTTGCATGCGGCTGACCCG